GGCCTTAATAATTGGAAAAGGGTTTTGGGCTCTTTAATACTAGAGTTCAAAGAAGGAACACTAAGGAATAATATTGGTAATAATACTAGGGTTCTAAAAAGGAGCCCTACGGAATAACATTGGTAATCATACTACAGCTCCAACAAGGAGCCCTAAGGAATAATATTCATGGTAATTGTTTAGGCTTCTACGTTACTACCCCCGGAGAGGAAGATTCAGAGCCTGAGTTGCCGGCTAGGCTTTAGGGCGGCTAGGCTTTAGGGTTTCTTTAGGGTTTTAAGGTTTAGGGGTTTGGGGTTTATTTGCAGTTTAGGGGTTTAGGGTTTATTTGCAGTTTAGGGGTTTAGGGTTTAGGGATTGCACAGAATCTGGACATGTTTTACGCCTGCGTGCCACCCCTCCGGTCTTCTGGATCATCCAAGACGCCTGATTGACAAAAGGTGAAAAGCCTCATCCACTTGTCTCTCTCCAGGTTTCGGCCAATAAAGACCAGCTGAGAGAGAGGCTCTTTACCGTCAGGCCAGTCCCCTCGGGGCTCAAACTCGCACATGTCGTGGACACCTTGTAGGACGGCCTGCTTAAGCTCTCCCGAGGCTTCCTTGACACACACCACTCCCTTGTAGCGGTACAAGTCCAGAGCATGCTCGTTCTTCAGAGCACTCATGACCTCAACGAAGCGCTGGATCACAAGGGGTGCACCAGTGAGAGCTATGCTGCAGGATCCCACACCGGCATCGTGTCGGGAGGCACGCAGGAACCCTCCCGTCTTGGCCCGCTTGCTGCGGCGGCCGTCGGAGGATTCCATTGGAGTACTCAGTTGCCAGGAGCCCTCGCCGGGCTTCTCCAACATCCTTTCCTGGGTTGCTGTCAAGGACCCTACACTAAACTACTTTAAAAAAGGAAACCCGCTCAAATTACTCACTATGTATCCCCATAATGTTGACTGAAAAACTAAGTTCCTTAACAGTAATCCAGTTTCTAGGATGCGGTCCAGGCTGAAGCCCTGCGCTGTGAACAGCTCATCCAAAGGGAGCTCGCTAGGATTCTTGGCCAGGCTGCAGCGTAGGATGGGGCACAACGCATTGATGCTGCGGATGGTTGTCTCCACTTCTTGAAGGGAGGCCGCACTCGCTGCATCCACTTTGTTCAAAAGAATCTTGTCTGCAAAAGCAACTTGCTGCATGGACTCATTGACAGCACCCTCCGAACGAGACCTGCTCAGCTGCTGCAAGAAGTGGCAAGCATCCACCACAGTCAAAACGCAGTCAACGCGAGTGCGCTCTCGAAGATCCGGCTCCACATAGAACGTCTTACAGACTGGGCCAGGGTCTGCCAGACCGGTTGTCTCGATCAGGATGCCATCCAAAACCTGGGGTTTAGGGTTTAGGCGGTTTAAGGTTGATACAGGTAGTAGAACTACTATCGGGGTTACTATAAGGGTTAGCGTTAAGGTCACTACAAGGGCTCGGAACCTTCGGAGCTGGAGCATCTGTGGTGCCGTTCGCGGCCTGGGCATTGGCGGCTTCGGCATCGGCTTTGAGCAGGATCTGCTTCACGGCTTCGACAAGGTCACTCCGAACAGTACAGCAAAGGCATCCGTTGTCGAGGAGCACCACCTGCTCCGTCGTGTGGGCTGCCGTAGCATTCGCAGTCTTCAGCAGCTGGTTATCGATTCCGATCTGACCAACTTCATTCTCGATGATCGCATACTTATAGCCATGTCGTGCCTTTAAGACCAAGATAGGACTTAGGGTATTTGGTTTAGGCTTAGTTAAGGGGTTTAGGCTTTATAAGGGTTCATAGGCATGCCTTGCCTTTAAGACAAAGTTCAACAGCGTGGTCTTGCCGGAGCCCAGGAAACCCGTCAAAATCGTCACCGGCACCTTCCGGAGCTGCTCCGCTTCGCGATCTTTCATCTCCAGTGCCTTAAGGACGAAAAGAACCCTAAAAGGTTTTAGGGCTCATATACCATATAGGGATTCATAGTATAACTAAGGGTATAGGGCCCCTACTTTTAAGGGCCATTTCGTCCCTAAGGTGCCTCCATGGCTCTTCTCGCGCTTTTCAGTGCCGGCCCGAGCTCCTCGAATAGTTTTCATTGGGGCACACTTCCCCAAATCATAATAGTAATTCCTAATATAGAAACCCTAAATATACTTTGGAGACTTTGGGTTGTATCAGTTATAAGAAACGGTCGCCAGAACTAAACCGCGCCCCCAATGTAGAATCCTTCTGACAAGAACTACACCCCTAAACCCTAAACCCTAAAATCCCTAAACCCTAAAATCCCCAAACCCTAAAATCCCTAATCCCTAAACCCTAAAAGCCCTAAAAGCCCTAAAAGCCCTAAGCCCTGGCTCCTTCTGCTCCGCCTCGGAGAGGCCCAAGTCCAGGCTGGCGCGCAGGTCGCGCAGCGCACGGCCGGGCTGCTCTAGGGCGAGGAAGATGAGGCCCCGCTCCTCGGCTTTAGGGCTTAGGGGTTAAGGGCAGCTTAATGTTACCTCGCGATTAATAATGGCCCCCTCAATAGAGCGAAACCCGGCCCTGGACACAATAGTGGAAGGCCCCCTCAACAGAGCGAATCTCGGCTCTGCACAGAATAATAAAGATGATTTAGACCCCTCAATAGTGCGAAAATCCCGTCCGGCCTTTACTATTTTTAAAGGTTTAAGGAAATAATGTGAGCTCGTGATTAGTAATG